TTTTTTGGAGACGGAGTCTCAGTCGCCCAGGCTGGAGGGCAGTGGCACAATCTGGCTCACTGCAAGCTCTGCCTCCCGGGTTCATGCCATTGTCCTGCGTCAGCCTCCCGAGTAGGTGGGACTACAGGCACCCGCCACTACACCCGGCTAATTTTTTTGTATTTTTACTAGTGATGGGATTTCACCGTGTTAGCCAGGATGGTCTTGATCTCCTGACCTCGCGATCCGCCCGTCTCCACCTCCCAAAGTGTTGGGATTACAGGCATGAGCCACCGCGTCCGGCTAGTATACATTTTATTATGATTTTGATAGCTAGTCTCTGACCAAAATTCTAGTGTAGAAAATTCAGAAAAGAAGTGCTACATTTTTTTTTTTTTTTTTTGAGAAAGTGTTTTGCTTGTGTTGCCCAAGCTGGAGTGTGATGGCGCAAGCTCAGCTCACCACAACCTCCGCCTCCCAGGTTCAAGCGATTCTCCTGCCTCAGCCTCCTGAGTAGCTGGGATTAAAGGCATGTGCTACCAGGCCGGGCTAATTTTTTCTTTTTAGTAGGGACGGGGTTTCTCCATGTTAGTCAGGGTGGTCTGGAACTCCTGACCTCAGGTGATCCGCCCGCCTCGGCCTCCCAGAGTGCTGGGATTACAAGTGTGAGCCACTGCGCCTGGCCAAGAAGTGCTAAATTTATGTTTTAAAACATTAGAAAGTTAATCACCTAAAATCTCACCTTCGAATACGTTTTAAAAAATATATCACCATCCACATTATGCTAATTTTGCTTAGCATATCTGTTAAAATGTTTTCCCAGATTTCTGTTTTCTATCACTATTTTTATTGTCTGCAGTTAGTATTATATTGCTATGCAGTAATTTCGTTCAGTTCTTTTACCACATTGGTCATTTAGGTTGATAAATTTTTTTTTCTAATTTTAAAAATTGTGATAAAATACACATAAAATGTACCATCATAATATTTAAGTACATAGTGTTGTGCAGCCATCACCACCATCTATAACATTGTTCGTCTTGTAGGACTGAAACTGTATACGTATTAAACAATTCTTCAGTGCCCCTCCTTCTAGCCTCTGTTAACCACCATTCTACTTTTTGTCTCTGACATTGACTACTCTAGATTACCTCATGTGAGTAACATCATACGATATTTGTCTTTTTGTCTTTCTGTGAGTAGTCTATCTCACTTAGCATAGTGTCCTCAAGGTTTATCGAAGTTGTAGCATATTGCAGAGTCTCCTTCCTTTTTGGGTAAATAATATTTCATTGTGTGGATATACCACATTTTGCTAATCCGTTTGTCTATAGATGGATACTTTGGTTGCTTCTACATTTTAGCTGTTGTGATGTTCCTATGAACATGGGTATACAAGTATCTTTTTTACACCCTGCTTTCAGTTTCTTTGGATATTTACTAGAAGTGGAATTGCTGGATCACGTGATAATTCTACGTTTAACTTTTTGAGGAACCACCATATTGTTTTCCACAGTAGCTGTGGTTGATAATTTTTTGCTGTTACTGCTAGCACTCTAAGTTATGTCTTTGTGGCTATGTTAATTTTTAGCCTTTCTAATACTAGCAAATTTTGAATTGTAATGGTTGGATTTTTTTGTTAATCTTTTTTTAATCTTTTCAGAAGCAAGAGAAAAAGAGGAAGAAATGAGCAGAGAGAAAGAATTAAGGCAAAATGAAGATATTGAACCAACATCCTCAAGATCAAATGTGGTCAGAGATTGCTCCAAATCATCTTCCAGGTGCCTGATTTTCACGAAAGATTTCTATTAAACTATCAGTTTTTAGGTGTTCGTAGAGTTTTTTTTTTTTTTTTTTTTAATTTTTCTGAGACGGAGTCTTGCTCTGTCGCCCGCTGCAGTGTGGTGGCGTAATCTTGGCTGACTGTAACCTCCACCTCCTGGGTTCAAATGATTCTCCTGCCTCAGCCTCCCAAATAGCTGGGATTACAGGCATGCACCAGCACGCCTGGCTAATTTTTGTGTTTTTAGTAGAGATGGGGTTTTGCCGTGTTGGCCAGGGTGGTCTCAAACTCCCGACCTCAAGTGATCCGCCTGCTTTGGCCTCCCAAAGTGCTGGGGCTATAGGCGTGAGCCTCCTGAGTAGCTGGGACTACAGAGGTGCACTACCACTGCTGGCTAATTCTTGTATTTTTAGTAGAGGCATGGTTTTACTATGTTGTCCAGGCTGGTCTCAAACTCCTGACATGATCTGTCTGCCTCATTCTCCCAAAGTCCTGGGATAACAGGTGTCAGCTACTGGGCCCGGCCTCCAGTTATTACTTTTTTGAGATGGAGTCTTACTGTTTGACCAGGCTGGAGTATAGTGGCTTGATCTGGGCTCACTGCAACCTCCACTTCCTGGGTTCAAGTGATTTTCCTGCCTCAGCCTCCCAAGTAGCTGGGATTACAGGTGTGGGTCACCATGCCCTGCTAATTTTTTTTGTATTTTAGTAGAAATGGGGTTTCACCGTGTTGGTCAGGGTGGTCTCCAGCTCCTGACCTCGTGATCTGCTTGCCTTGGCCTCCCAAAGTGCTGGGATTACAGATGTGAGCCACCACGCCTGGCATCCCAGTTACTTCTTTTCGACAATGCAGCAGTGGCCTAACACATTGATTTTGTTTATCTTGTCAAAAAATCAACGCTTGTTTCAGTGATTTTTTTAATTCTTTGTTTTGTTGTTTGGGATGGAGTCTTGCTGTGTTGCCCAGGCTGGAGTGCAGTGGCGCCATCTTGGCTCACTGCTACCTGCACCTCCCAGGTTCAAGCAGTTCTCTGCCTCAGCCTCCCAAGTAGCTGAGATTACAGGCGCCCACCACCACGCCCAGCTAATTTTTGTATTTTTAGTACAGACTGGGTTTCACCATGTTGGCCAGGCTGGTCTTGAACTCCTGACCTTGTGATCCACCCACCTCGGCCTCCCAAAGTGCTCAGATTACAGGTGTGAGCCACCGCACCTGGTGTTACTCTTTTTTTTAGTGTCAATGTCATTTGTAGTTCTGCTCTGATTTTTTTTATTTCTTCTAATAATTTTTGGTTTGCTTTATTCTTGCTTTTCTAGTTCTTTGAGGTACATCATTAGGTTGTTTATTTGATGTATTTCTACTTTTTATGTAGTTGTTTATTGTTATAAATGTTCTTCTTAGTACTGTTTTCTTTGTTTTCCACAGGTTCTGATATGTTTTGTTTCCATTTTCTTTTGTTTCAAGAAATTAAAAAAAATTTTTTTTTTATTGACCGTTTGGTCATTTGGGAGCCTGTTGTTTTATTTTCATGTATTTGTACAATTTCCAAGGTTCCTCTTGTTATTGATTTTTTAATTTTTCTTTTGAGACAGGGTTTCACTCTGTCACCCAGGCTGGAGTGCAGTGGCATATTCTTAACTCACCGCAACCTTCACCTCCCAGACTCGAGCGATCCTCCCACCTCATCTCCTTAAGTAACTGGGACTACAGGTGTGTGCCACCATGCCTGGCTAATTTTTGTATTTTTTGTAGAGACAGTCTTTCACAATGTTGCCCAGGCTAGTCTTGAACTTCTGAGCTCAAGCAATTCGCTCACTCTACCTTGAAAAGTGCTGGGATTATAGGCATGAGACACTGCGCCTGGCCTGATTTTGGTTTTGTTTTGTTGTGGTTAGAAAAGATACTTGAGGGCTGGGCAAGGTGGCTCATGCCTGTAATCCCAGCACTTTGGGAGGTCGAGCTGGTGGATCACGAGGTCAGGAGTTTGAGACCAGCCTGGCCAACATGATGAAACCCTGTCTCTACTAAAAATACAAATATTAGCTGGGCGTGGTGGCTCATGCCTGTAATTCCAGCTACTTGGGAGGCTGAGGCAAGAGAATCACTTGAACCTGGGCTGAGGAGTGAGCCAAAATCATGCTCTGGCACTCTAGAGTGAGACTCTGTCTCAAAAAAAAAAAAAATCTGTTTTAAAACAGTATAGCTGGACACTTGTGCGTTAATCATAAGGGGGAAATTTTGGAGTGTGAATAGCTTAATATAAATTTATTTAGTCATTTAGCTATTACTTATTGAGCGTCTTCTGTGGATTACACAGTATTTTAGGCACTGAGATACAGCAGTTAGCAAGTCAGATGAGACCTTTGTTCTCATTGAGCTCTCAGTGTTGTGGGAGTATTTGAAGGGATGGATAACAAACAACTAAATAACCAAATAAAATAACTTAGCAGGCATGTAATGAAGATAAAGGTACTTCAGGTAATGGGAAGTGGTGGTGTGCCTGAAGGTTTAAAAGGGGTGTGCCCTTAGGCTTCTTTGAGGAGGAGACATTTGAGGAAACTCCAAAAATGAGAGAGGCTGTGTGACAATCTATGGGAAGGATAAGTCAGCCAACGGAACTCCCAAGTGCAAAGACCTTGTTGTGAACTGAACCTGTTCAATTAGAAAGAAGGCCTTGGAGTGGAGATTTGAGCTAGGCAGTGGCTCAGATACTTCATTAGAAGGCAGTGACACTTTTAATCTTATCAAATATTTGAAAGATTAATTGATACAATTAAGAATGCTGAGTTCTCAACTCTGGAGGCAGGTGGAGGGGTGGTGGATGGTGAGGGCTATACTTACAGGTGTTTGCTAGAGACCTTAATGAGAATGTATAATAGTCCTCAGGTATGGTGGATAGGAAACCACTTGGGAATCAGTATGATATGCTCTAGACTCTCAAGCCTGTCCAACCTGCCTTATACTGTTGTTGATTTCTTTTAGACTTTTAGCATCCTGAAGCCATGGTTTTTAGTTTCTGTCTCTAGTGATAAGTAGAAAAGAGGGATGAGGAAATGGCTTCACTGGCCCAACCAGAGACAAATTAAGAACCCATGACTGTATTCTGTCCCTTGGATACCCCTGGTTAGAGTATGGTGTTTTTAGAATGCAAGGACGCTACATTTAATGTTTGGCAAAGTGGCAAACTTGGACTAGCCGTGAGAAATAACTTGTATTTCTGAAATTATATTGAAACATTTTGGGAGTAACTTCCTTACATGACTGGCATTATTTGCTACTGTGGCAATCAGGGATTGGATTCAAATATAGTTAATTGAGGCACTGGCCATCTCAGTGGTTTTTGTCCATTACTATTTTGTAGTTTTTCTTCTGTATTTCCTTGTTCACCTGTCTCTTAAAATTTTTTAAATTAAATTTTTATTATATATCTATATTTTGAGACAGGGTCTCACTGTTGTTCTGGCTGGAGTACAGTGATGCAGTCATGGCTCACTGTAGCCTTGACCTTCTGAGCTCAAGTGATCCTGCCACCTCAGCCTCCTGAGTAGCTGGTACCACAAGCACATGCCACCACACCTGGCTCATTTTTATTTTTTGTGGAAACAAGGTCTTGCGATGTTTCCCAGGCTAGTCTCAAACTCTTGGGCATAAGCAGTTCACCTGCCTAGGTCCCTGACGTGCTGGCGTTACAGGTGTGAGCCATTGCACTCAGTCTCACCTGTCTCTTTATGAGTGCTAATGGTCTAATGGCCCTTTAACGTAAAATTGCTGTGACCCTTTATTTTTGACTTTGCATAAGACAGTTTTTTTTAAACTTTCTTAAGATAAAATAATATTTGCATTAAACATTTAATGTTTGAACTACAAATTTGAAAAAATTTAAAAATACCCAAATGTTGTTAATAGGAGAGGAAAAGTTTCCTGAGAAACAAGTACTATTTCCAAAGTGTGCTCTTTATTGCAGCAGAGGCAAAGAGTTTCTGTTTCTGTGTTTTCAGGGATACAAGCAGCAGTGAAAGTGAAGAGAGTTCTGACTCTTCTGATGATGAGTTAATTGGCCCTCCTTTACCCCCTAAAATGGTAGGAAAACCAGTTAATTTTATGGACGAAGATATCCTCAGTGCTTTACCTCCACCTCTTAATGAAGAAGAAGAAGCAGAGGAAGAAGAAGAGGAGGAGGAGGAAGAGGAAGTAAGTATTTTAGTGGTAATTAAAAAATTCAGTGGAGTAATAGCTTTAAAGTACTGTAGAGATCAGTCCTGCTAAACTGTTGTTCATGAGTAAGAGCCATTTTAAAAACTGAGGAAAGGCTTAAACCTGTAATCCCAGTTACTTGGAAGGCTGAGGCTGGAGAATCGCTTGAACCTGGGAGGCAGAGGTTGCAATGAGCCGAGATTGTGCCTTTGCACTCCAGCCTGGGAGACAGTCAGACTCGTCTCCAAAAAACAAACAAAAAACCCAAACCGAGGAAAAAGGCCAGGCACAGTGGCTTACGCCTAATCCTAGCGCTTTGGGAGGCCTAGGTGGACAGATCGCTTAAGCTCAGGAATTGAAGACCAGCTTGGGCAACATGGCGAAACTCTGTTTCTACAAAAATGCAAAAATTAGGCCGGGCGCGGTGGCTCAAGCCTGTAATCCCAGCACTTTGGGAGGCTGAGGCAGGCGTATCACCCGAGGTCAGGAGTTCGAGACCAGCCTGAACAACATGGAGAAACCATGTCTCGACTAAAAATACAGAATTAGCTGGGCCTGGTATGGCACATGCCTGTAATCCCAGCTACTTGGGAGGCTGAGGCAGGAGAATCACTTGAACCCGGGAGGCGGAGGTTGCAGTGAGCCGAGATTGCACCACTGCTCTCCAGCCTGGGTGACAGAGTGAGATTTGGTCTCAAAAAAAAAAAAAAAAAAAGGTATAGTCTTCAAAATACTAAAAGGAAAGAATGCTAAAGGAAATGGTGTACTTTTGTATTTGACACCTGGGGTAGATAATTTTTTAACACCTCCCTTCTTTATGTGATGAATTATTTTTAGTAATAATTATGAAATGAAAAAAATAATCAGAAAAGCAACAGCTTTTGTAAATCTGTCAATGACTGTCAAAATCGGTAGTCTTTGCATATTCCTCCTCAGTACATAGTGTAGCAAATTTGTCAATCTATGTCTGTCTGTAGTTGATCAAATAAAGCTTCTGATTTCAATTTTGTACATTTTTCTTTAACATGAAACAACAGATCTATAGTATATATACTCACACTTGCACGTGCATTCATGTGTGTGCATATGTAAAATTAAGAAAAGAAACAAGAATAAAATAAGAATAAATTTGGCAGTTTCATTAAAATTTTTGTTTTACAATAAGTTCCAGAAATTGCAATGTTGATTGTATATTTTTTCTTTTATCAATTCTAGTGGCTTTTAAATATCTCTGTAGGTTGAAATATTTTGGCTGGGCACTGTGGCTCACGCCTGTAATCTCAGTACTTTGGGAGGCTGAGGAGTGCTGATCACTTGAGATCAAGAGTTCCAGACTAGCCTGGCCAACATGGTGAAACCCCATCTCTACTAAAAATACAAAAATTAGCTGGGCATGGTGGCGCGTGCCTGTAATCCCAGCTACTGGGGAGGCTGAGGCAGGAGGGCAGGAGAATGGCTTGAACCTACCAGGTGGAGATTGCAGTGAGCCGAGATCGTGCCACTGCACTCCAGCCTGGGTGACACAGCAAGACTACATCTCAAAAAAAAAAAAAAAAAAAAAAAAAAAAAAAAAATTGGTCTCAAAAAAAAAAAAAAAAAAAAGGTATAGTCTTCAAAATACTAAAAGGAAAGAATGCTAAAGGAAATGGTGTACTTTTGTATTTGACACCTGGGGTAGATAATTTTTTAACACCTCCCTTCTTTATGTGATGAATTATTTTTAGTAATAATTATGAAATGAAAAAAATAATCAGAAAAGCAACAGCTTTTGTAAATCTGTCAATGACTGTCAAAATCGGTAGTCTTTGCATATTCCTCCTCAGTACATAGTGTAGCAAATTTGTCAATCTATGTCTGTCTGTAGTTGATCAAATAAAGCTTCTGATTTCAATTTTGTACATTTTTCTTTAACATGAAACAACAGATCTATAGTATATATACTCACACTTGCACGTGCATTCATGTGTGTGCATATGTAAAATTAAGAAAAGAAACAAGAATAAAATAAGAATAAATTTGGCAGTTTCATTAAAATTTTTGTTTTACAATAAGTTCCAGAAATTGCAATGTTGATTGTATATTTTTTCTTTTATCAATTCTAGTGGCTTTTAAATATCTCTGTAGGTTGAAATATTTTGGCTGGGCACTGTGGCTCACGCCTGTAATCTCAGTACTTTGGGAGGCTGAGGAGTGCTGATCACTTGAGATCAAGAGTTCCAGACTAGCCTGGCCAACATGGTGAAACCCTGTCTCTACTAAAAATACAAAAAATTAGCTGGGTGTGGTGGCGGGCGCCTGTAGTCCCAGCTACTCGAGAAGCTGAGGCAGGAGAATGGCATGAACCTGGGAGGTGGAGCTTGCAGTGAGCTGAGATGGCACCACTGCAGTCCAGCCTGGGTGACAGAGCAACACTCCATCTCACAAAAAAAAACAACAAAAAAAAACATTAGCCAGGCATGGTGACAGGAGGCTGAGGCAGGGGAATTGCTTGAACCCGCGAGGCAGACTGCAGTGAGTCGCGACTGCGCCACTGCACTCTAGCCTGGCAATGGAGCAAGACTCTGTCTCAAAAAAAATTTTTTTTTCATGAAAGTGTCTTTACAGAAAATTCATTTTATATTTGGTAAAAGCTTCTAAATTTTTTTTCTCTAAAAATCAGAGAAAATGGCTACATGATGTCAAACATTGCCATTTAATGACCCATTGCTTTAGAATGCTTTTGGTGAAAACAACTGAGGTATTCAAACGTTTACCCTTTTAAATTCTTTTGCCAACCATGTCTTTGGTTTTTTCTTTTGGCATCCATAGAAAACAGAATTGAATTTGCTTAGCATTTTGTTTCTTTGTCTTTATAATCTTTGTTTATTTTGAATCTAGTATTTAAATGCAGAAATGTAGTACAACAGGGATTGGACATAGGAAATTACTGTTGAAGTGAGCTTGAATGATTCTGAACCATGGAAAACAGTATGTAGAGACCTGAGTAGCTGAGTGTGTTTGTGCATGTGTGTGGTGCAGATAACTGGGAGTTCTCCAAATTAACTTCATGTAGAATACAGTGGTTATTTATTTTTATTATTTATTTATTTATTTATTTTTGAGACGGAGTGTTATTCTGTTGCCCAGACTGGAATGCAGTGGTGTGATCTCGGCTCACTGCAACCTCCGTCTCCCGGGTTCAAGTGATTCTCCTGCCTCAGCTTCCTGAGTAGCTGGGATTACAGGCATCTGCCACCACGCCTGACTAATTTTTTGTGTTTTTAATAGTGATGGGGTTTCACCATGTTGACCCAGCTGGTCTTGAACTCCTGACCTTAGGTGATCCACCTGCCTCAGCCTCCCAAAGTGCTGGGATTACAGGTGTGAGCTGTTGCACCTGGCCAGAATAACGTGTTTATTAAAAGATAAGTAATAAAAGCATGTTAATTGAAGTTCACATATATGTTATTAAAACTCAACAGGAACCATAGCAAAAAGAACATTAAGTAGTATCTAAGCTGACATTGTTTATAATTGCCATCACAAGGTGATAATAAAAAGCAGGCTTATCTTTACTTGATTTTATTATCGTTTTTAAATTCTCCACAGAAAAGGTGTACCCTCTTATTGTCTGTGTTACTTCCACTGTTAATTCTTTCGATATGCCATTGAAGAAAATTCACCTATTGCAATAAAAGACAGGAAAGGAGAAAGAAGAGGTAGAGGAAGATAATCTTGGTTAATAGAGATTATGAAATAAGATGGTAGGTATGAATATAAATATATCAGTATTAATAGATGTAAATGGACTAAACTTGCCACTTAAAATACAAAAATTCTCAGATTGGGTTAAAAAAATTTAGGTATATATGCATGTTATACCTGAATTATAATTACACAGAAAGGTTGGATGTCAAGCAGTAGAATATGGCAGGAAAATAACCAAAAGATAGCTGATTAATGTTATAAAATTAGTATTCAAATCTTTAAGTCATAATATGAATTAATGATAAAAGTGACATTCCTTAATGGTAAAAGGAACAGTTTATTTTGAAGGAAAAATTGGCAGTCCTCAACGTCTATGCATTTAACAGTATATTGAAAGTGTATAAAGCAAAAACTGACAAAATTACAAGGAGAAATGGACAATATACAGTCAATCAGAGATTGAGAGATTGTTAAGACAGTAAGGAGACAGATTTGGAGAAGACAAATGAACAAAGTTTAACGTATTGAATGTATATTGGAGCCCTCGTTCAACATTTTAAGCATAAATGGACAGTGAAAAACAAACATATCTAGTTCCTAAAGTGCTATGGAAACATTAACTACTATGGAAACATGAGTTTGGTAGTTCACTGAGTAGGTAATATTTAGATTTAGCTATGAATGTGACAGTGGATTTTGTAATGGACTGAATGTGTCTCTCTAAAATTCCTGTTGAAGCCCTAACCCCCAGTGAGGCTGTATTTGGAGATGGGGCCTCTAAGGAAATAATTAAGGATAAATGAAGTCATAAGGCCCTGATCTGATAGAATTAGTATCCTTATAAAAAGAGACACCAGAAAACGTGCACTAACTCCTCCTCCCCCATGGGAAAGGAGGAATGGCTTTGTGAGGACATGGCAGAAAGTGGTAGTCCGCAAGCCAGGAAGAGAGGTCTCACCAGAAACCACATTTGTCCACACTTTGATTATGGACCTCTAGCCTCCAGACCTGTCAGCAAATACATTTCTATTGTTTTAAGTCACCCAGTCTGTGGTATTTTGTTTATGATTGTGTGAGCTAATAAGGTTTGCAAGGCTGACTACTGGCTGATAAACAGAAGGAAAGAAAGAAGCATATTGCAAGCCAGAAAAAAGTTGCTACAGCGAAGACCCAAATGTATATAAATACAGCTATGGTTGTGAAATTGCACCTGATTAGTGCATGGCTGAGTTTTCTTACTAGGAGAAAGTAGAAAGATGAGGAGGATGAGATCAGATCCAGAAAGTATGATTAAATGCTTTCTGGAGGAT